CTACCCCCCCGCCCCTACCCCGGGTCCTCGGCTGATGGAATGCCTGAAAACCCGGCGGGCAGATGTCTACAAGAGGGACTCCTCCCTCGACGCCCAGCCAGGTCTCAGTAATACCCGCCAGGTCCGCACCCCCCTCTAAAATAAGATCTTGTATGAGGGGGGCCTTATTTACCATGGACCTGGCATTGCATAACAACAGCCGGTAGTCCCGGGCCGGGGGATCTAAGTCTCCTGGAGACCGAGTAGGGGCCTGAGGACCGGAGCACCCACAAGCTTGTAAATAGCGTGTGCGTGCTCCCCTAACCTGATATGGTCCTCTGCTCCCGCCATATCTGAAACAAAGTATTGGCACTACATAGTTGAACCCAAAAACTAAATTCCCTTCCCCCAGATACAAAGTAACAAAGTGCAATTCCCATCCCCAATAAGCTGTCATAAATCACATTCTCCAGTTAGCCTAAAATGCAGGCTTTCTTCCCAGCTCCTCAGCCCGCCAAAACGTTATCAGCTCGTCCTTGAGTTCCCACAAAGCAGCATTATTATTATGGTTAGCTGAGCTCGAGCTTTCATCCAAACCCCCTCCTTCTGCACCTGATTTCTACATACCAGAAAAAGCATGTTAAAGGAAAAGAGAAAATGACTGCAATTTTCATCAGTTGTCAGAGCGGGAACATCCAATGTTTACAGCGTTGACATAGCACTGAGGATGTTACCTAATTTCTTCTGCAAGAAAACAACCAAGCTCAGGGAGCATCAAGAACCTCTAGTTTCAACTCTGAGCTACAATTATTCTCCTTTATTGGAGCCCCATAAATGCACTGAATGCAGCAAGACTTTTAGCTGGCATTCTGACCGAATAAAATATCAGCAAATTCACACCCGAGAGAAACCCTATTTATGTAGCGAATGTGGGGAAAAATTTGCTGTGAGCTCTCAGTTTTTTATTCACAAGAGAATCCATACAGGAGAGAAGCCATTCCTTTGTGCTGAGTGGGAAAATCTTCAGTCAAAACTCTCATCTGGTCAATCACCAGAGAACTCACACAGGAAAGCTCTTTGAATGTGGAGAGTGTGGGAAAAGTTTTTGGGATTGTTCAAACTTGATGCAGCACCAGAGAACCCGCCCCAATGAAAATGCCTTGGGCATGGGAAAGGCTTTATGCAGAGTTCAATCCTCCTTAAGGCATTGGAAAACCCATGTTGGGAGAAACTCTCTAAATGTCCTGAATGAGGGAGAGATTTTCATTACAAGACTCAATGTCAACACTGTAACAATGGATGTTCCCGCTCTGACAACTGATGGAAATTGCAGCCATTTTTGCTATGCTTTTAACATGCTTTTTCATCTACTTAGAAATCAGGTGTAGAAGAGGGGTTGGGGTGAATGCTTGAGCTCAGCTAGCCATAATAATAATGCTGCTCCGTGGGAACTCAAGGACACAAACTGATAACGTTTTGGTGGGCTGAGGGGCTGGGGAGAAAGCCCGCGCTTCAGACTAATTGGAGAATGTGATTAATGACTGCTTCATGGGGGTGGGAATTGCAATTTGCTACTTTGTATCTGGGGGAAGGGAATCTAGTTTTGGGTTCAACTATGTAGTGCCGATACTTTGTTTCCTGAATAAAATGTTCTTTGAGGAAGAATTCTTGCCTTGAAGTTCTTTTGATGGGTTTCATCTATCGGAACCATGACACTCAACTTGTGCAGCACCACAGGCTTCATCTAGCATAACAAGGCAAGGAGAGGGTTGCATTCTTAACCATATGAATCATTTAACAACCATGTGATTTGGATTTATAACAACATGATTCACTTAACAACTACTGCAAAAACAGTCATAAAATTGAGTCCTGTCATTTGAGTGCCCCAACTTATGATCATGATGACAACCAGAATTCTGCTCCCAGTTATGATAATAGTTGAGGACTACATGTAGTTGAATTCAAATACAGCTTTTGAAAATTATCCTTTTTCATCTTCAAATGGAAATTTTCCCCTTTCATATATATCAGTGCCAAACTTGGCAGGTGGGTAGGAGGAAAATAAGGTGCAGTTTTAGAGTTTTTTCTCTCACACTAATTTGTCATGCCAGCTTTCATTCCTTTACTGCTTTCTTGGTTGAAATTGTCAATGTTTGGAATTTTTTTCATAAGCATTCAGCAGAAAATTAAAATTTAGCTATGAATAGGCTAAGAATAGAGAGAGGCAAATAATTTGCTTTATAGATAGTGTCATGCTTTTTGATTCATAATGTTGTAAGCTCTTCATGTGAAGACAAAAATGTCATAAGCAATAAGAAGTTAAGTGAGGGCTTTGCAGAGGTGGCTTCTCTTTTATAGCACTTCCTATAGAGCCATGTGGAAAAAAAACAAAAAAGCCAAGAGCCATAATCTCATCATTCTTCTTACCTGTAAGCACAATCTATAAATAGTTGTACTTCTGCCCATAAATAACTGAGGGACTTTTTGCTGGAATAGTTAATTACAAATCTAGGCATCTAAAAATTTCCGCTTGTTTTCAATGATCTACAACATATCCCAAGAACTTGGAAGAGAAAATGCCCTGTGCCTTATGCTGAATACAGCAATAGCTTCTTGAGTACTAATTTATTGGAATATCACTAGGAAGCTATTGAGAATTGTTAACTGATTTCCATAAAATCAATATAAGATGTCTTGCTAATGCCAAGTGAAAAACAACTCAAAGCATATGCTGAAGGGTTTTTTGAGGGGGGGGGGGATGTTTCAAACTTAGAATAATCTTTTAAGAATTAAGCTTGTGGCAATTCATGGAGCAATAAATAATTGGATTCTTCTTTTATAAAGTTCCAAGTAAAATTCTGTATTAAAATATTAACTGAGGTTCTAGCCTTTGATCTGATTTAGTAATAGGAAGTGCAGATCCTCAAAAACCTGCTTCATTACACTATCCAGTTTGGCAGGATAGTTTTTTTTTTTTAAATCCAGCATTTTAAAAAGAGAAATCTAAAAATATTTATCAACCTCTCAGGCAAACATTGATTATGTGTTTTTAAATAGGTGTAGATTCTTAGTGATTGCATAAATTTTCTCTATGATGTTTTCTTCCCAGTCTGGCCCTTCAGATCTTCAGGCAAAAATAGATTGTGCTTAACTTTAAAAGGTACAAAAACGTAGAGAACCATTTCCAGTTTTCTTTTCGTTTTAAAAAGATTGTGCACTTATAGCAGTTCTGGGCTGCCCTTGTTTCAGGGCTTCAATTCAGCAGAACTTAACAACAATAACAAAAAAAAAATTGAAAACTCCAAAACATAAACCAGCAAGCAACAATAAAATAATAAAAGGGCTCTAACCTATCAGGGCTAGAGACCTGGGGCAGCAACCACTCTTGACAGCCTTTATAGAGGCCAGAAGGATTGAAGCTGATTGTGTGGCAGATTAAAGATACCCCACCGAAGCCTCAAAAACCAATCATTTTCCAAAATAGCAAAGCATTTCTTCAAGCGTGCGTCCCTGCTCTGCATCCCCCCCCCACGTGAGACTTCTTCCTGAATCTTGTGTCTCAAAGGAAGCCTCCACAAAGGGGCAACAGAAGCTCTGATGATAATCTGTGCCTGGACAGGGAAAAAAAAAAAAAGCAGTCTCTGGTGTTCCAGAGATGCTTGGAACTGGGGACAGGCTTGTTGCATGGTGGACAAAGGGAGGGAGAGATACTCATAGTGGGTCACCACTAGCCAGACAGGGTATTCACTAAATTGTACTTGGTCCTGATCCCCCAAGAAAGCAACTGTTTTTCTTCCTCATTTCCTGACAGCTGCAAGAGGTACCTTGGCTTTGCTATCAAGGCATCTTACAAGAGAAGAAAGAAGGTCTCTCATAGATGTGTTGCACTGTGAACTACAATACCCCCACCTCGCCCTGCAGCAGGTGGCCTGGTATATGGATATCTTACTGCTTCTTCCTACTTCATCCGGAATTGCTGCTCGGACAGCAAAGTCAAGAGAGACCCCCAGCATGTCCAGCACCCCAAGCAGGCCCAAAATTGCAATATTTCCTGGGTGAGGAGCTGCCATTGGCAAGTAAAGCTCTTTCCAGCAAGGTGAAAGATGGAGCTTTGCTGCTCTACCAGTGTCCTTGCTCTTTTGCATAGCTCAATGGAGCACTACAGTAGTCTTATTTTTTTTTTAAGGAGAGGTCTAGTGATGTTTTACAAGACAACAGTTTCAAAATTTCTGATCAAATGTTAGCGTGGCAGCTGCCTCTGGAGAAAGCAGATATTGAGTGTCTTCTGCAACTATGAAGGAGACTGCACAGGGACTGGAGGAGATAGACTAAAGTAGACCATCAGAACTAGTTAACCCTTGGCCAGCCATGTCATCACCAACATTGTTCCACATTGTGTCCCCGGCAAAGATTGCATCAGGAGAAGAGGGAAAATATTACTTTATAAGTGGAAGAGATAAATATGACTTCAAACTGCCCCAGATGTGGACTGGAGATGAAGATAACATCGTGAGGTGGTGTTAGTTACCATAGCGTGTTCAGGCCATGTTTAGAGACATAGATGGTTGTTCATGATGTGCTAGGACATTTGTCTGGTATGTGTGGACCAAAATCAGTGTGAATGTAAAACTACATGGACTTAAAGATGCTCAACAAACTGAGCCTATCAACACCTTTGTTTATTCCCAAAGATGAATGAAATGTTCTCACAATACCCGACTGTTTGGATACTCTGGAATTTGGATGTCGAATGCTGACAGGAACTCAACTTAAATGGATATAAGAAATGGTGAGAAATCAGGAGGGATGCTCATTTGATATTTTAATGGTGCAAATGTATACACAATGTGGGAAATTTTTCCTTTCATTTATTCAGGTATTTCAGGACGTTGTTTTCCCATTTCAGTTATTTGGATACTCTTAGTGATGCTAGTCTGTGACCATAATAAAAAAAATTATTGGTTGATTTGATATTCTTATGCCCCCCCCTTCCCTTTGTTTTAAAAAATAGGCTTTGCTTTTCTGGCATTCAGGTAGTCTTGCTTTTCAGATATGCTGCCCTCAGAGGGGTTATGTCAGCAATCCATCGACTTGTTCGCTGTTTGGCCTCTTCCCAGGAGTAGTGAGGAGTATAGTTAAAATCCTTTTGTGCTTTCTTGTAAGAAAAACTGAATGGGGTGTTGAGCAGGACTACAAGGGAACGATTAATAGCAGGAACGTATCTCAAGAAAGGTTTGAGCAAGAAGCTCACAATCTCCAGGAACAGAGCATAATAATAAAAAAGTGTAATGGGCATCACAGGTTTGGGTTCAACACCAAAGCCCAACTCCTTTGTCAGCTCATAATTGAAGTCGGAATAGCTTGTGTGGGGAGAATCATCCGAGATATAGTAGAAACGCCCTCGGATCAGTTTCACTTTTGTTGGGTTTCTCATGGCTTTAGCCACTTGAATATGAGCCCAAGCAATATTTCCCACATAGACAGGATTTACAATCGCCTCTTTCCTAGACAGCCTCAAAAATACATTATTGTTCAGGATGCTTTCATCGAGGTGACTCAGAAGGAAAGGACTGCCTTCTCCATAGATGTACATGGGCCTCAAAGCACATGTTACAAAACTATTGCCCCCCTTGAGTGGCAACCTGTCCAGCTCCAGGACACATTTCTCTGCCTCTCTTTTAGTTTCAGCATAGGGTGGGCCTTGGGTCATCTGATATATGGTGTCTTCATCACCGTCAGAGATGGGATCCCCTCTGTTGTTTGGCCCTGTCACCTCAAGGCTGCTGGTATAAATAAAATACTGGACATCATTGCGGAGGCAAGTCTCCAGCAGCAACTGTGTACCTTCAGAAAAAGGGAAATGTTAGCAACATTACAAAGGCTGAGGTGGTTGCTATTCCCCCAGGAGAACATCATCTTATAAGTTGATGCCACAAAGGCCTCTGAGCCTGTTTGTCAGAACTGCCACTTTCTAGACCAGGGGTAAGCAACCTTGGCTCTTTTATGACTTGTGGACTTCAACTCCCAGAATTCCTGAGCCAGCCATGCTGGCTCAGGAATTCTGGGAGTTGAAGTCCACAAGTCATAAAAGAGCCAAGGTTGCCTACCCCTGGTCTAGACTATACCATTCTCAACAAATGGAGGTAAGGATCTTTTTACTTAGAAGCCCAAGTTGAGGAAGGTCTTATACTGTTGATTTTGCAAGTATTGCTAGAAAACACTTCTCAGTGCGTATAGTCAAGGCCATGGTTTTCCCAGTTGCAATGTATGGATGTGAAAGTTGGACCATAAGAAAGGCTGAGAGACAAAGAATTGAGGCCTTTGAACTATGGTGCTGGAGAAGACTCCTGCGAGTCCCTTGGACTGCAAGGTATTCAAACCAGTCAGTCCTAGAAGAGATCAACCCCGACTGCTCTTTAAAAGGCCAGATCCTGAAGTTGAAACTCAAATACTTTGGCCATCTAATGAGAAGGAAGGACTCACTGGAGAAGAGCCTAATGCTTGGAAAGATTGAGGGCAATAGAAGAAGGGGACGACAGAGAATGAGGTGGCTGGATGGAGTCACTGAAGCAGTAGGTGTGAACTTAAATGGACTCCAGAAGATGGTAGAGGACAGGAAGGCCTGGAGGAACGTTGTCCATGGGGTCGCGATGGGTCGGACACGACTTCGCAATTAACAACAACAACAAAGGTTCCCCAGAAGACCTTTCACAGCCCCAGAACTACAGTGAAATATTTAAAGGAGGCTTTTATATTTTCCCTCTGTTTCTTAGTATCCTCCTCCTTTCCAGACCTTACTGTATATCTGAAGGACTTCACTGAATATCCCTCTCCCCAACCTCAATCCAATATATATTGGAAGATTTAGAATCTTTTAAATCAGGGGTCCTCAACTTTGGCAACTTGAAGACTTGTGGACTTCAATTCCCAGAATTCCTCAGCCAGCTTTTAAATGAAGACAGCAGGTATTTCCCAAGAACAGTGCTGTTTCAGATAGATTGCCTATAACTTAATCTACTCATTTTCCATTATTTCTCTTTTAACCTAGGAATGAATGCCATCTTCTTTATTGGAACAAAAGCTGCATTTCTGATTTTGTTTCAGATGAAATAGTGTTTTAAAAATGCTTTGATTTTACTGACATAACCACATTGATGGCAATCTGTTTCGAAATAAGCCAATGAAGAAACTAACGTTTTCCTTCACTCATTACAAACAGTTATGAATATGCATGTTTCTAGGAAATGTCAAATGTGGCTTATCTCTGTGATAAGACAGGCCTTGGCATTTATACAGGTAGCACATAATTCTACATGGGGCGCAGATACCAGGACTGTGGACCATCTCATATGTCCTGTTAAATATTTTAGGACTTATGATCACCGCCTTAGGTTATTTATAAAAAATAGTTAAAAAGGATTAAAGCAAACAAAGATATAAGTAAAATAATCAACAATAAACAATCTGATTCCTGACTAGGATTATTCATGACTTGAAGGATTGGGAATATTTTTTCTATAAAATGCAAAATGGATCTTGATTTGACCATGTACTAGGATNAATATTTTAGGACTTATGATCACCGCCTTAGGTTATTTATAAAAAATAGTTAAAAAGGATTAAAGCAAACAAAGATATAAGTAAAATAATCAACAATAAACAATCTGATTCCTGACTAGGATTATTCATGACTTGAAGGATTGGGAATATTTTTTCTATAAAATGCAAAATGGATCTTGATTTGACCATGTACTAGGATTAGCTAATTCTGTAATGCAATTTTGTGTGTGTGTGTCCAAGTCAGGATTAAGTCCTGATGACTGCCTGGACTATTCTCCTTGGGTTTTTTGGCAATATTTTCAGAACTGTTTCACATTGCTTGAGCAAATGAATGGCCCAAGGTCACCTAGCTAACTTCATGCCTAAGACAGGACTAGAATTCTCTCTCTCTCTCTCTCTCTCTCTCTCTCTCTCTCTCTCTCTCTCTGTGTGTGTGTGTGTGTGTGTGTGTGTGTGTGTGAGAGAGAGAGAGAGAGAGAGAGAGAGAGAGAGAGAGAGAGAGAGAGAGAGAGAGAATAACATTGAGAATGTTTGGGATTCTTTGTGTGTTTGGACACACATATACAGGTAGTTCTCCATTTACAACAGTTCATTTAGTGACCATTCAAAGTTGCACCAGCACTGAAAAAAGTGATTTATGACTGTTTTTCACAGTTACGACCTTTGTAGCATCCCCATGATCATATAATCAAAATTCAGATGCTTGGCAACTGGTTCACATTTATGACTGTTACAGTGTCCCAGGGTTATGTGATCACCTTTTGCAACCTCTGACAAGCAGTCAGAGTGGGAGACAGATTCATTTAACAACCAGGTTACTAACTTATCAACTGCAGTGATTCACTTATCAACTGTGGCAAGTAAAATGGTACAAAACTCATTTTAAAAATGTTTCACTTAACAACAGAAATTTTTGGGCTCAATGGTGGTGGTAGGTCGAGGACTACCAGTATATACAGAGAAAGGGAGAAGGGTTGACTTTGCTGTAGTGGCTAAGGCATCAGCTTAGAAACTGGGACACAGAGAGTTCTAGTCCTGCCTTAGATACAAAGCCAGATGGGTGAACCTGGGCTAGTAGTCACTTTCTCTCCGCTCTAGAAAGGAGGCAAGGACAAGCCATTTCTGAAAAACCTTTGCAAGAAAACTGCAGGGATTATTCCAGAATGGAATAAAACACATGCTGCCTGCTTTGTGAGATTTGTCTGGGATCAGTTTAAAGTTACTTGTTCTAGGTTTCTTATAGAATAAAGCAGGGGTAGTCAACCTTGGCTCTTTTATGACTCGTGGACTTCAACTCCCAGAATTCCTGAGCCAGCTAAGCTGGCTCAGGAATTCTAGGAATTGAAGTCCACGAGTCATAAAAGAGCCAAGGTTGACTACCCCTGGAATAAAAGATGTGCATGGGGTTACATGATCTCTATCGTTTTGCCACGTGAGACATTAAGAAAGGTATTTTCCTCCCAGACAACTTTGTAGGGTTTGTGCATATCCATGTGTGCATGTAATGTCTTGCAGAACTTTTCTTCTTAACCAGATACTTACCCACACAGAGAGAACAACCTCAGCTACAACAGAAGGAGGAGGTAAAGCCTCCTCTCAGTCTGCAATCCAGACGCTCCCCATGAAGAGAGACCCCCCTCACTGTTATTCCTAATAAGAATGGGGAGCAGCCCATTCGCCACCTGCCAGTGAGTGGCTCACCTCTCTCTCTGCAGTCTGGAGAGCATTTGAAATTTATTTACAAGTGGCCCCTCTCTGGCTTGGCATTGAAAGTCACCCCACCTTACCCCTGACATTGACATCCCAGAGGGTCTGTCGATCGATGAGCCCCCGGGTGTCAATGATGGCAGCTGCATGGATGACAAGCGAGACTCCTTGGACTGCTGTTTGAAGAAGCGCCACATCCCGGATATCCCCTTGTATGACTGTCAAAAGGGTGTTACTTTTCACTTCTGGAAAAAGAAAAGCACCCAATAAAGCAACGAGCTGTATTTACCTTCCTTTTATTCACTTTAAAGCAAGCAATGCAGACCATCCTAATAGCTGGGGAGAGAAGTCAGCTCTCCTCCCCCCTCCACCCATGCTGCTGAGTTTTATTTCTCATTAGCCATCTAGTCAGATAACACAGAAAAACAAAGAGCAGCAATGGACACCCCAGCTTAGTTGCCATTTAGCTATTTTTGCCTTTGCCCTGAAAAAACAATTTTCTTCAAGGCCCTTGAAAGACAAACCCTGACTCAAGTCTCCAATGAACTGTGGCTCTCCATCTTATCTGAAGAGAAGCGCTACTTAGAAGATATCTGTGGCTCCATGCACAAGGACAGACTCAGTGGTAGCTAATGAGCTTCAGGGCAAAGGACGTGTGTTCCAAAATAAGGTGTCTCTTTATCTTAGCACATTGACTGGACTTTGGAACAAGTAGCAGGATTTAAAGGATCTAAGGACCATAGGAAGAACTGAGCCTCTTTTCTTATTAAAAAAAAGGTCAGAGAAAGAGACCTTGGGCCAAGCTAGGACCTATGGAAACTTGTCGATGGCAGTGTCTGAGGCTTTTGCTCCAGAACCATTACAGCTGAGGAACAAAATCAGTTGAACTCACTGAGCAAACAAACTATCTTACAACCCAGGCAATTGATAGTCTTGAATATCTTCATTAATTCTATGAGGAAACATGCATTAAACTGAACTGTTCTGTCAATAGCATAATGTATACAATGCATGTTCTGTGCTTTTAAAAACATTAGCTATATTACAACTTATTGCATAAATGATTGCATTGACTGCATAAAATACCCCATTTGCTGTCAAAATTTCTTAGAAATGAACAAAAATAAATAAGGACTATGTCTTATTTAGTCACATTCATAAAAATATTAAGTTCTGTAAAGCCCCAGTGGATTTACATTACGTCCATAGTTGTCCCAGCCTCAATAATATATTGCAGTAAATATAATAATAATAATATAAATAATATAAATAATAATAATAATAATAATAATAATAATAATAATAATAATAATAATAATAATATAAATAATAATAATAATAATAAAAAACTTGAAAGGGACCTTGGAGGTCACCTAGTCCAACCCCAGCATTCTGTTTAGAAAATAAATTCCAAAAATATTAATATTTTTGCATTCCATTTTAGACATGGATCTACCTGTCACTACTGATTTACACAGTTGCTCAGCCCTGTGGTGACATATTTCTGGATGCAAGGCAGAGGTTTGCCAGGATCCTTTCAGCTTTCTTTTAGTTCTATCCCTGTGAAGTGATAGCTTCCTATCAAACTACAGGCAGTTGCTGAAGTCAGAAATACCAATGAGATTCTTTTGAATGTTTACTAATTAATTGATGGACAAGTATGTTTTCCCTGGAGCCCTTACACCAACGAATAAGGTTTTGCCTGGAGTGGGAAGAAAAAAAGGGAAGCAAACCCATTTACAATAGTTAACAACAAGGTGCCTTCAGGAATATGAAAGCTGAGCAGGAGCTGTGCAAATCCATATGCCCAAATATATTCCTATTTTTAGTTGTTGTGTACTACTTTAAATATATAATGCTTACTTTTAAGCCTTTTTTCTATTAACAGTGCAAACAATATCTGATTTTCATTTTTTTTTTTTTTTTGTTAATCTGGATTTGTGCACGAGCTTATGCATTCCACTATTTTGGGCATCACAGAGATGACATCTATTCTTTCTTTAAAGCTAATCTTCTAATCCAATTTGCATGTGTATACACATGCTATGTATCGTTCCTTTCAACTAAAATTGAAATGTCATGAAAAATATCGTAGATATTGTTGACAGACCTCTTAGCAGAAATGTTACATAGACATATTAATAATAAATGTTAATTACCTAATTTAAACAATTTAGTCTGGCCAATGTTGAAGGAAGGAGGGTGCTGAGCTTACACTTTGTCAGACATGAGGCTGAAGCTCAGCAGATAAAATGCTCCTCCATAGAAGAAACATTTTTTCTAACATGTCAAGGAAAAGGGTATTAATCTAGTTTGTTGTACAAAATTCTGTGTATTTAAAAAAATTGGAGACACGGTTTCCGTTATGTGAACCTTCACCAGCAGTCTGAAATAGCTTGGTTGAGACACTGAAGTGCCACCTGAGCACAGTGGAGTCCTCTAACATGAGGAACTTCTACAGTGTGGATTTAGGTATTTCTTCCTGGGCATCCAAATTACTCTCTCCTTTCAGCTACCTTACTTACTCTCAAAATCCTGGAGTGCTTCAGCACTGACGGTTTTGTCCAAGATTCTGACTTCGGCCAAACTCTCCTTTTCTGTCAGCAGCTGGCAAACAATCCTTCGACCTAGGAACCCACCAGCACCAGTCACGAGGCACCTCATTCCTCCCAAGGACATGATGATGAGCAAGGAGATGCTGCAAGGGCTGCTGTTCCTCCTGAAACAAAAGAGAAAAAGAGACAGAGGAGAAGAATGCAGCAGAACGTTGTTAGGAAGAAGGGGGAGGTTTCAACTGGCAAGCCTTGGCTAAGTGGGAGTGTCTTCATATTGAAGGCTATTTGCTTCTATCTCTTCTCTTCCTTCTGCCTACTGCTGCTGAGTTATTGCATGTTTTTGAGATGAAACACAAGAGCACTCTAATCTCTAAATGTTACTAAACTGCACAGTCTTTGGCCTCTAAGGCTTGAGATGGCACTTGAGGGCTCTTGGCCTGCGCAGGTTGCCTTCTCTTCCTGACCCCCCTGGAAGCTAGTGAAGTCTCTCCATACCATAGATATACTCTCTTCTCTGCCAATTTGGATCATGTATTTCCAGAGAGAGATTTCTGCTTGAAATGGTCCAGGACTGGAAAAACTTGTAATCCTTTTATCTTGCAGAATATCTAAATTGATCCAAAGTATTTGAAATGCTGTAGTTATGTAAAGATAGTCAGAAAAAGTAAAGGTGAAATTAGTCTGTGCAGGACAAATCCTCCCACACAAACATTACAAATGAAACCCTGCAGAGAATGAGAACATTCAGCATCTTTTCAGATGCAGAAAAGCTTGCATCTCAGGAGTGAAATAGTCCTCTGGAGCAATTAATTTCTGAATTATTGATAATATGACTCAAGATAAGATTCTTGGAAATAATCACATACTTTGTAATCCCACTCATAAATGCTGCTTCTATCACCTGGCCTAATGCAGCTGCTATGAAATGCTCCCCCTTCCTCAGAATTTCTATTGCCTGATCAATCATTATAAACATTCACCAGCCATCAAACGAAATGAACTTCATTAGAAATTAATTCCTAGAAAAGGAATTCCAATGAAAAAAATATATAATGGTGACTGAAAAGCAAAGGGAATTTCAGAAGTATACCAGGTCTAATTCCTAAATTTGGAGGAAAACAAAATCCAGTGACAGATGCCTGATACACCTTTTGCATGTACAAGAAAAAAGGAAAATCTCAAGTCACATTATTATAAGCTCCCCCAGACTGAAATAAAAGATATTTGCTAGTCCATCGAGAGAGGTGAGTGATGGAAGAAAATCTTTTGTCAAAAAGAGTGAGTCCTCTGGGTTCTTTCCCATGCAAACTATGGCTTATTATTTCTGCTGTTAAGTAAAGGAAAGCCCAACCAGTAGTGGTGAGAGATAGGAAGCCACGGCATGTAAGGCCTTGTCATCAAACACTATGAGTATCCTGAAATGGTAGGCGCTGTCTTATTCTGATCAGTTTTCCAAGAAGTGTTTTCTATTATCTTTAATTGGGCACAATCCAGCTAAAATTAAACACTATAAATTATAAATTGCACAACAAATAACATCAAATAACAAAGAATAAATGTCAACAAATAACAAATAAGCAGAAATTTCCTAACGGTGAGAGCAATCAACCAATGGAACAACTTGCCTTTGGAAGTTGGGGGTGCTCCATCCCTGGAGGTTTTCAAAAAGAGGCTGGACAATTGTATACCTGAAATGGTATAGGGCAGGGGTAGGCAACCCAAAACATCAAAGAGCCACTTGGACCCGTTTCCCACTGAAAACAAAACACTGGGAGCCGCAAAACCATTTTGATGTCTAAAATGAAGATAACACTGCATATATTCTTTTTTTACCTTTATTATA